GACTTCTTCAGTAAAACCAACTTTACAATCAAAACTTTCCTCTAGATTTCTACTACAATATTCATCAAGTTTAGTTCTTTTGTTTTCACAGGAAACTGCCCTGATTTTTCTTTTTGCGGACGATTCAGTCTCTTGCTTGGTCCAGGAAAATAGGCTGGGAATTGCAGTAGACTCAAGTCTCTGTATGGTGGGTTTGCGCCCTGAAAAAGGTTATAAAACATTAGTTTTTTTATAATTAAATGAACTTCCATTAGCAATGTATACTTTGTACTACCTGGCGAAATATTAACTAGATTTATTCATTACAATCTGGATAAAACTATGTTTGCCTGATTCAATGTATGTTTTGTAAATCCAAAGGACAAACAATGAGAGACTTATGCAACAAATGTACATTGTTTGTACCTAAATAACTATAATATAGATGAGAGCATGTCATTGTTTTGTTCCTGTTAACATTGTCATTGATATTTTTCAAGAAAGTCTATGAGGCATAGCTTATGCATTCCTGTCATTACTACATTAGCATAATTACTGCTAAAATAATTCTCAGTATGATATACCTCTTGTAAGAAATTGTTATAATTGTAGCAATCACCAAAAAATCTCAAACAGATCACATTGAATCGTAATCCAAAAAATTATGACGTTTGAATTACCCACCCCCATTTATTCTAAAACGATAATTGCGGTTGTAAACAGACTTTGGTTTATTCGCATGGCGATTACATATATAACTATATATTTCACAAAGAAAATAGAGTTTTACCATGAATAGTTTCCTGCATAGTCTTTTTCAGTAAAACGTGCCTTGCAAACAACAGCTGATTGAGATGGACTCCACGATATCATCGTGTTCTCGTCCAATCTGCGTATGGGCCATGGCGTTGATCCAACTTTTCCTTCTTTTTAAGTCATTTGGAAATGCATGTCCTCCTCTTAAATGACATCCAGGTACACAACAACAAGTATTTGGCATCGTTAATTAAAAATATAACTGAAATAGTTGCACAGTGCAGAAACCGGAAGAAGAGGAACAGGATCCGCTACCACGGCGCCACCTATTCAGGAACGTTAATTTGCTACTTTATATAACTGCGAAAATAACGTTAGACGGGTTCACGTGCATAAACAGAAATGCGCTTTAAATTGTATAATATAATTCATGTTCAGTCGACCTTTAATTATTATATCAACGACTGAAATGATTTATAAACATCTAGATTGCAGATAACACTCGAAATTAACCCGAGCTCTTTCCACACGGAATTCAAATAATTCTAGTTTGTCAATCGGTTGACTGCTTATAATGCAAAATACTAATATATCAAAAGTTTTTAAAACTAACAAAACACAATGATCGTTTCTCTATTTCCCAATGTAAATGAAATGAAACAAAAAACATTTTATATCGCAATAAGAAGAGGAGAGAATTCAACATTTCCGGATCTACTTGGAGTCTAATGACCCCCCACGTAGATAAGTTGGATATCGCGGAAGGAAGGATTAACCCGGCAACTAGAAAGGCATTAAAGCACTGCCTTTAAAAAACTGATTTCAAATTGAGCAGTATTATTCTATCAAGAACTTACATAAAATTCACATTAAGAAAGAGAAACAGTGCAACTCTGTCTTAATATTAAACAAAACATTGTTAACTTTATTAACAGTAAAATCAAAGCAAATAAAAGATTGATAATATGTAGATACACAAGTTAACATTCTTATACCATGCATGTATGGCAGATGAAATCAACACATGGGGGGTCTCAACATGGGATTTTGGGTACAGTTGTGCAGCTGGGATTAAAAAAGCACCCCCATTCATATATTGAATAATTGTGAAATCCCTACCTATACATATACACAGCGAAATCATAACCCATTCATATATTTATCAGCTCAAATAGTACCTATATGCATATACAATCTTATTATATATTAAACACTTTTCAACAAACTGAAAAATTATGACCCATTGATATAACACAATTGGTCAATTACTACCTATTGATATATTTCCTCTGTAAAATTGCACCCCATTGATATATTTGACGTATCAAAAAAGGGACCCATTCCAGCGGCACATATGTATATACCTTCATATAGGAAGAGACTCCCTCTGTGAATCAACATTCATTTGATATAATATTTGGCAAAACAATGACACAATGAATATTTTTTTACCAACTGTATTTAAATTCTGTATGAATTGCACTACATTATTATATTTCTGCACTGTTTTTAAATTTGCTATATAAAATATAAATCCAAAGTATAGCTACATTTTTTAAGAATGTTAAGTGTGTAGGACATCATTATTTTTTTATCAGGAGGTCAGATATTGCTTTCAAAAACTTGGACCCTATGTTGAAATCTAAATGACATTAGGTGTTATAGTGTCACTGGATTGCTGTCTTAATAGTATGTACCAAAGATCTCCTTTCATAATATCTCATGTGATATGTAAATACTGATAATTTAAAATTGTATACCAAATCTTAGGACAATATGCAGAGGATTGCTAAAAACTGAACATAAAATTATGAAAAATCATACATTTCATCAAAAGCCCAAAAGCCATAATTGAGTCAAAAGTTGGGTCAACCAGAACAATCTTGCATTTGTTTACAAAACCAGATTGTAACAGAGCATCAAATGTTCCCAGGCAATATAATGAAATTTTTCATATCACTTACATTTCAAATAGGCATATATCCTGTAAAAAATAACTGTTTTCTGCTGATTTACAAATCCATCTATGATATTGCTGATGTCAATAATTGGTCATTTCACACTGATAAGAAATGTAGGTAGGAGTGCACTTAAACTGTTGATTTTCCATATAATTTACATTTAAAAGAGATATTACTCTCAAAAAAATATAAAAACCATGTGATTGTCAAACTGGTCTCAAATATTGCTGATATAATTCTTTGCTATAAATTTCATGGAACTCTGAAGAGAACTGTAAGCATGAGAGAGCTTATAATGCTGATTTTCCATGTTAATTATATTTCCTAGGAGGTTAAGTTCAACAAACCTCATTTAATGTCAAAAGAAGGGACAGACAGACATTACTATTTCAATATTCACACCTCTACTACTTTGGGTATGGGGACAATAATGATAGTATATTGACAATTTTATCTCAATTCTATATTTGTACAATGTGAATTTATACATCTTTTTTACATTGAAGTGCAGAAAAATAATTCAACAATAAAATGTTGCTTGAAATGTTAGTCTTTACAGTATGTTGCCTGAGAGTTTTGTATCTATTTCAAACCATAGCAGATGAATGTGTAAATATCTGAGACTTTAAATCTACATTGTTTGTTCCCAAATTGGCCTGTAAATAATTAGCTCCAAGAAACCTGAAATGCTCATTTAGGTAAAAATGTGTTATATTGAGATTTTGGTAAAAATTCTAGATAAAATTGATCAGTATTATCTCAGAAGTGTCATAAATCACATAGGTTTTAAAATTGTATTGAATTCAGGACAATTTATCAATTCTAGTTTTTTGTATAAACACATAGATAATCTATGATTCCAAGGTAAATTTCAGTATCTCCTTGATATATCATATTAAGTGTTGCTTTGTAGGTCATGATAACCTATATGTTCCAGAACGGTTTTATAAATTTTATAAAAAGTTGAATATGTTTTAAATACTTGGATGGCTAAGTTTTACAATAAAACAAGTGTAAGTGAAATTTCTTGTAAAAGAAAATCCTTTATCTTATCAAAATCTTCATAAATGTACTGCCGTTAAAATATTGTCTTCCCATACAATAATTTGTCAATATTTTTCCGCAAGCAGTGACCTTAACTACAATACCACTCGTTAGAACTTTAGCCACTGCACAGCACAAGTGCAAGGGAAAAACCGTGATGACAGAATGTAAACAAACTTGCACTGGAAGATAAATAATAACAACTGATTCTTAAATACACAGCTCTATCGATTCACTTATTTTTCACATGCATCACACGCTTTAGGTTGCAATTCTGCAAATATAGACAATGCAATTTCCCATAGGAACTCCTTTTACGGCTAAAACTGTACCATTTTACTTGGAAGTTTCGTAAAAAAATCATATACTAGAATGGAAACCTCATATGCACTACTATTTTTTTCAAAGGTCAAAATATAGGGCTATGCGGCATATTTTCAACATTTATATGCCCCGAACTTATAAGAGTTTAAACTTATACTAAAATTCTGTATACCCCTCTCTTCACTTTGGGTCTTCCACAGATTTCAATTTGGCCGCTATTCATGTGTAATTATACTGGTAACATTCCCAAGCTATGTCTCTACGGGATAAAACATAGAGATCATATCTGGGAACCAGTAGGTAAACAAAACAAAATATCTATGAATATTATGTATCTCCCCAAAAGAGGCGTGGTTTGTGAAACAGCTGTATTTACAAAGTGCAACCTATATGTTGATTGTTTATCAATGTCATGATCCCGTCAACTTCTGCAAAAAACTTGAAAGTTAATTAGCTTGCGATCAGCAATCACTGAATGAAATATTATTTGTTGATAATACGTTATAGATTCGTACATAATGTAAAATAACTTGCAAACATGACTTAGTTGAGCATACATGCATGCATTGTTTCAATAATTTCGATAGCATTATAATTTCACGAAACTCGTTTAAGTTGTCTTTAAGTAAAAGTATCCATTACATAGTGGCTAGAATCACACTCCCCAATTTAAGATTTTTCTGATTTCAAACTCATTCATGTTGGTAACTGGTCCTCGTACTCGTAAAATTTCGTGCAAAAATCACCACTCCAGTACCCAGCTTTACATTAGTTATAAGAGGATCTAAAATCTGAGTCTATAGTGCTAAAGCAAACTTTTGGTAACCATAATATGTTACAAAAATGTTTCCAAAACAGAATTCCTGTTAAAAATATTTGAATACTGTGAATATCTGACGGTAACTGCTTATAAACCAGAACCACGAACACCGTTACCTGTAAATTATGTTCCATGACTGTTTTATCTCCAGATCCACTGAATACAATACTGCCATCAACCTGTCAAATATTAGAATCATTAACAGTAACGCTACATAACGATGTCATGTGTAACAGTCTAGAAATTTTTTTCGAGGGGGGGGATGGGGTTGGGTTATTTTTCATGAGTGACATTCAGGTTTAATATTTAGGCTCAAAAGTCAACAAGAGGTCAGTAAAGATGTTGTTTTCTCTATTTTGAAAAGAAAATCAATATAAGTTACAGTTTTTTACTTTTTCAATGAAAAAATCTGTTATTCTAAGTAAACAACATTGTAGTTTGCAGAAAAATTTGATAACATGATTGATAATTGGTGTTAAACACCACTTTGAGCACTATTGGCTATATCATGGTGTCAGTTTTTAATGGTGGAGGAAGCCAAAGTATCCAGGAAGATCCACCAACCTACGGCAAGAAAACCAGAAAAAATTGAAAATTTGTTTACCAAATCAGTTCAGTTTGGAACCTATCAATGGGGTTTGTCACAAGAACTTTCAATTCAATATGATTTTTGTTGTTCTCTTCATTTTCAAACTAAAGAACGCTTAGTGGGCAAGCTCAGAATATTCTAGGCTCCTTACATAATTCATATGGCTTTTATTTCCCTCGTAAAAAATAGTCCCTTTTTAAAAAGTTTCTGCTTATCAAATTATCATCATCATTCTACATGTAAATGATATTGCTGGGGAGAATGGTACTTTTCTAAATTTTTATCAGTTTCAGGAGTGTTTTCAGATGAATTTAGACATCATGAAATATAACAGTATAATTTCTATGCATATATATATATAATACAAGATATTTTAAAGGAGGATTAAGTTTAACAGCATTGATTGAAAAAATAAATAAATCATCATTATTATTTGGGGAAGAAGATAGCAATTAAAAATAAATATTTTGACAAGTTTAACCAAGCCTGGCACATTTACCAGGAGGCAATACAGGATAATTTGATGGATTAGAAATTAAAAAAAATTAACAGACATGAAACTAAATTTTCTTCTTTTTTTTTCTTTTTGTTTGATTTACATTATTATTTTTTTTATTTTACTTAATCACCTTTTTTTTTTCTTTTTTTTTTTTTTAATTGTTTAATTCTTTCTACTTTTTGTCCTTTTTTAATAAGTTACCTTTATAAAATCCTGACAATTAATTGAAGTCAAAACTCTAATTTGGCATTAAAATTAGAAAGATCATATCATAGGGAACCTGTGTACTAAGTTTCAAGTTGATTGGACTTCAACTTCATCAAAAACTACCTTGACCAAAAACTTTAACCTGAAGCAGGACAGACGGACGAACAGACGGACCGACGAACGAACAAATGGACACACAGACCGAAAAACATAATGCCCATAAATGGGACATTAAAATAAGGGTGCCATCCTGTTGTAAAAAAAATAGGTTATTTATACAAATCACACTCTCCAATTTGAAATTTTTCTGATTTTAAACTCATTCATGTTCTGAAAGGTGGAAACTTTCATCCATTTGAAGAGGATCCAATAAAAAAAAGCATAACAACAAGAAATAATAAGGTTTTTTTTACAAGTTTCCCTCCCTACAAGATGGTATCCCATTTCAGATTTTTTTTCTGTTTATTAAACTCATCTGAGGTTTTAATTAGTGGAAACCTTCATCCATATGTGAAAAGGATGCCACAAAAAAATGAAGTTGCTAACATGATGACAGCAATGAGATGGACGAACTAATTGATCAATGGGTCAATTGCATTATACCCTTGAGACCATTGAGGTATGTAATAGCAGTCACTGCAATTTTTTATTTCATCTAGGAATTTACCTTTTCATGTTTCTGTCAGTGAACCAATTTTATTTATCACATGGCTATAAAAACACCTTTGCATTTATCCTACAACTATGTTTTAGTAAACATATCAATTGCCTAAACTCTTAGCATGACCCTAAGCTTTGATATGACTTACCTGTAGTGAGAATACAGTTTTTGTATGCCCCTCAAGAATACGTATCAACAGTCCAGATGTGGCACTCAGAACAAATACAGTGGAATCATATGCCGCCACAAGAATAACTTTCTGGGCCCCTTCTGTTGCTGAGGATATACAACTGATGGGTCGATCAGAACAAACATATGCATCTATATTTCTATCAGTCTACAATATACAAAAAAATTTTTTTAATAAGAAATATATTTTAAGTCAAAACAAAAATTTACTAGACCATAATTCTATAGATTTGTTGTGACAAGATTATGATTTTAAATTTTTTCACATGAACAGCAATGGGAACTAAATTTTATTCATTAATTAATAGTATGGTGGGGGAGGACCACCAAATATCAATAATGTAGGTGTAGTTTAGTTTCGAACAACTTTTCATCAAATAATGCATTAAATTTCTAATTAAAATTGTTTGATTGGATGTGTTGGAAAGAAAAAGTGCTTTCTAATCCCTAAGTATAAGTTTACAATAGCCACTAACATGATTAATGACCTCTGAAAATAGTTATAAACTAGAAGTGTCAGAATAATATGAATGGTTCCTCTCCCAAAAAAAAGCTTGAAGCAACATAATTTTTAAGGTCCAAACCCCGTAATTTCGGCAAAAATGAGCAAAGCGGGACCAAACTGACACTTGATCTGTAACTCATCGTAGTAAACTCACTATAAGGAGGCATAAAAAGCATGTTTTCTCTTAATATCTTTTGGGCATAAATAATTTTTTTCTAGATATTATATACATAGCAAGTACAGACCACCTGGTGACCTCTAATTATTTCTTTTTGGTGAACTTGCGTTGATGGATTGCAGACTAACTTTTCCCCCATTTATATTTATTCACAGTAAAGATTGATCAATATGATGTAGATTATTAGTTGATCTATACCGGTAAATATCGAGAATATTTTCTTGTTGTGAGGTTGCTGTCTCATTGATATATATTTTGTGTCATATAAAAAAATTGTTTTTGGTGTTATTGATATTTTTTCTCTATCATTAGTTGATTTAAATTTTTTCTTCAAAATTATTTTTTCTAAATACAGTTGACTCTTGTTCTCGAAGTCAGCCGGATCAGAGAAATATTTCGAAATGCCTGAGTTCTACTTAAAGTATACCGGAAGTTTGACAGACCAAGGGACACAACTCTAGCTTTGCTTGGTAAGGCTAAAATAAATCCAGAGGAATATGGGTAAGGGATCTATATTCTGGTCTGAGATCGAAGTATCTGTTTTTTAAGGTCTTTTATTATTATACATGTAATAAAATTACATTTTATTTTGTCTCTTACTTAATTCTGTGTACCGTTACAATTTTTCCTGCAGTTTTTAGCCTAGAGAGTAATTTCCAATCAATCTCAGCGTGATTTAAAGTGGACAAAATTGTATTAGATTTTAGAAAATTTAGATTTCTTTGCATTTTCTTTTATTTCAATCGTTATCTGCAAGAGAAAATACAAAAAGATGAAAGATTCCGACTGAGCAGTTTTGAGTTAATCACTAATTCCTAATCCTTACTTTATGCACAACTAAACTCATTAATGTATTACGGTTAATAGTTTTTAAAACATTTTAAATACTTTTTCATAAAATATCATGAAATTTCAACTCCTCCAATTTAGACTCATCAGGAGTGATACATATATATTTATATGTGGAACAAAGTTCGGGACTATGGGAAAACTTAAGACTCATTTGAATTTTTGAGTCAACCGAGTTCAAGACAATTAGAGTTAACTGTATTGTATTAGTATAAACTGACCTTTGTACTCCAGACTAATATAGATCCTGTATATGTACCAATAAACAACTTCCCCCAGTTATGATGAAAACACTGTAATTTTTCCTCCAAATTTTCTGTCCGAAACAACTGTCCAGTCTACAAACAAGCATTACATTATAAAATATAAAGTGATAAAAGTTCTTTCAACTGGAAAGACAGACTATGTTCCATCTCCATTTTGTTTCAGAGAACATTTGTATATTATTGTATTATTCATACACATCTATTTCCACGAATTTTCCAGGATTGATAAACAAATCTAATTAACACATTGAGAAATTTTGATAATCATGGTTCATATGTACTCACAAAATCCAGGAGAAATACAACTCCATGTAAAAAAAATAATACAAAAATCAATAAAAAGAAATTAAGATATTTGTTTAAAGTATTACATTTTTTATTACATTATCAAAATATAAAAATTCTTTCAGTTTAAAACATTCTGTATTTCATGGATACTATACTTTATATATAAGTTGACATATATAAACTCACATTAGCATTGAAGCCTAATAAATGTTGTGAGGGACCTCCTGTGTACAGACGTAAGGAATCATTAGTTCTCAGGACAAACATACAACTGATCTGATGTGGGGAGCAGTCAAATGCATGTAGTAATTCACCAGTCTGTAATATAAAAGAAACAATAACTTGCCATTTTCTGAAATAAAAAAATGCTTACCCTATTAATTAGCCATCCCCATCCATTGGAATATTTATATCAATCTGATGAGTAAAGCCTTTTTCAACTTATTTTTATAGTTTTTTCTTACGCTGTGATGTTACACCACTGTCCCAGGTTAGGGGAGGGTTGACAAACATGTTTAACCCCGCCACATTTTTTATGTGCCTGTCCCAAGTCAGGAGCCTGTAGTTTAGTGGTTGTTGTTGGTTCATGTCTGTCATATTTGTTTTTCGTAAATTGTTTTGTTATAAATTAGGCCTTTAGTAATCTCAATTGAATTGCTTCATATTTTTCATGTCGGGCCTTTTATAGCAGACTATACAGTATGGGTTTTTCTCATTGTTGAAGCGATACGGTTGCCTGTAATTGCTTACATCCACTTCATTTGAACTTTGGTGGATAGTTGCCTCATTGGCAATCATACCACATCTCCTTATTTTTATATTGGTACACTTTTCCCAAAAGTTTGGTAGTGAAGGTAAAGCAAGATCTTACACTTTTGTCAAAAATGTTTAATTAATGTGGAGAAGTCTTTTAAATAAAATTGTATAGGGTTGGAAGGCAATACCAATAAATAATAAATAAGGTGGGGATTTGAATAACACTTTAAAAAGCATATATTTTCTATCAAATACACATACAAGAAGGAGAAAGATGGAAGAAAGAGGAATCTTTCAAATCTGACATTAAATTTAAATCCAAAACTTGTATTTGCAATAAGACTTAAATTCCCACAGTTGTAAATATAAATGAAACAAGAATTTTGTAGTTCATCATATCTCAGACTACTGTAGAGGAAAATTGGGGATAGGAGAGGTAAAGAATGGGGAGGAAAACTTTGTCTTTCTCACACCCACTATCATAAAGTTTGAATAAGAAACCTGTTAAAATATTAGCTTCTAAAAAGTAGTTTGAATCCATTACATCAATATATAAAATATCTGATGTGCCTTAAGACCACCTCCTTTCTGGTTAGTTTTTTAATTATATCATACAAAATTCTGTTTTCGATGGATACACCTTACAGCTATTTATCCACCATTACTGGACATCACAGAGGTTCCATTAAAATTTTAACATCACAAGAGAAAATGACTGATGTCACAAAGGAAAAGTGATTGTTGAATGAAGTCAAAAGTTCAAGTGTTACAAATTCTCTGGTCAAGTGTCGCCGATTCCCAAATAGCAATAAGGTCTATTGAAAGGGATGCATAAGCCAAAATGTAAACTACTGTATGACAGGAAATTCAAATAGCCATACTTGCACTGTGTTCATTCTAATTAATTTAAGGCTGATATGCAAAATTTTTTACATACATGACATATGCTGCATTTCATACTGTTTGATTTCCATTAATATGATTTTGCCATAATAAAAATTTAAAAAAAAACACAAAAACTGCTATATATGTATTCAGGTTTACCAAATGACATAACAGAATATCTGAGAGTCATCCATATCCCCTTACCTTAAAATTGAACTTTCTGACAGAATTTCCAAGATAAGACACATAGATTTCATCTCCAACAATTTGAATACCAGACACCTGCTGTTGAGGACCAGTAAATCTCCTTCGATCATCGAGTCTAATATCTCTGCATTCTTCTTTAGACAAACTTGATCTTACTGCTGCTTTCAGCGATGCCAATAAATTAGGGTTTAATTTGAACCTACAGTGGTAAAAAAGTTTTTTTTAATATCGTACCATTTATTTAACAATTTTATCATCTTCTTATGCAAAAATAATACACAAGTAATTCAGAAATGCAAAGCAGCATTTATTCATATCATGGAATATCATATTAAAGCATCATCATATTTTTTATAAAATTTTCTTTCTTCCAAAATATGCATGTAATATTTGCCACTAGCTGCATTAGACCTTTAGCAAGCAACAGTCAGGCTAGCTAAAATTTAATGCCATTGCCATAATGCATTTTATCATATACTTGTATAAAATATTACTAAAATTTTACAGTTCAATAACATTTAAAAATATTAGAAGGCTATGAAAGGATTACTAGGTTTATTGATCAGATTCCTAACAATTTCCTCAGCGGGCTGATAAAGGAACCTTTATTGACTGCTTCCGGAATGTTATCACATGCCTTTCCGTTAATTTCCGTGACGTTTATCACATGCAACGTCGTGCATTTCCGGAAATTTGTTCGAAAACGACAACACAGAGCGGAAAACCGCAAGTGATTTAAGACTTTTCACAAAATGGTTGAGGAGCATATTTTCAAACTAAGTTCATGATAACTGTTGTGACAAGATAAATAAAATGCTTGTAATATCAATAAAAATAATTAAAGTTAAGAAATTTGTATTTGATTGTCTGTAAATTATTATCTAAAAATTCATGGAAAGACAAAATTTTAATTAATAGTTCTTGTCTGTATTTCTTCTGTTGAAGTATATGATAAAAAGATAATTACATGTCATATATCATATCAGACCCTTTATCGGCCCTCATTCATGATATCAGCCCTCGAGCCTACGGCTCTTGGGCTGATATCATGACCTAGGGCCGATAAAGGGTCTGATATGAAAAATGCCATGTAATAATCTATACGTATCATAATTAAAACAATGACCAGAAATGAAATTTTTTTTTTTAAAATGTAAGTACTTGTGTTATTTTCTTGACATCAAAATTTGCATGAATTTCAATTTTCTACCAAATTAAATATCAAGAAAACAGGAAATTTGTATTGATTTTTAGGACGGGAAACAAAACAAATGGAGAATGTGTCCATGGGTCACATATGATGCCCCGCTTGCATATAATGTTATAAAGGGGCATAACTCCAGAACAGTAGAAGTGATGCCACCCAAATTCGAATTTGACCTGTGTTTTGTGGTAATAAGCATTGTGCAAAAGTTTCATTACATTTTGTTGATCATGAGGCAAATTAAAGTTAGAGAACGGAAACCAATATGGGACGTATGTACGTACATACGGACATACAGACGGACAAGGGTAACACTTAATGCTCCCTCTGGTGACAGCGGGGCAGAAAAATATGTGTTATAACAAATTACCTATCTGACTTGAATATTTAATCTGTTGAACCCTGTGCTCCATGTTTACTCTGCTTAAATATGGTCAACTTTAAACAAAATCTCTCTTTTTTTTTGTTTGCTTATAAGGTGTAATTAAAGGAAAAGCTTATCAATGTATTCTGATTCACTTTCTCACATGTTTATGTATCAACTTAAAACACTTTCAACTAGAAATGATGGACCTAATACTTGGAGCTAAATGAGGCCCTTACTTTACCTACTCCTATCAATGAAAATTGTTTAATACATGAATGGTCTCTACTGTACATTTTTCCACATTAATACTTTTTTGATATAGGATTGTCTTTTATCCACATAATTTCATTAACAGATGACAAATTATTCATTCATACCAATTCCATATATAACAAACACTTTTATTACTTCATTTATAAACTTAATATTACTATAGGATTAATTGATTGATTGGTGTTTAACGCCACTTTCAGCACTATTGTGCTATTTTATAACTGAAAATGTTAAAAAAAGTAAATTCTTTCAATCCCTTCAAAACAATTTAATTTTATGGAAAAAAAAAAATAAAATAATATAAAAGTCTTGTCACTTATGTGCAAAATTATCAATAATGTGACTATAATGTTATAAACATGTCAAATTCAAGAATTTGATATTATCAAAAGTTGTTATTTTACACCTACTTTATGGTAAACTTAAACATAAGCAACATCCTTACCCTTAAAGATCTTTTACCCAGATCAACCTTTTTGTATAAGACATCTTGAAATATATATTAAAATGTTGCATATATACCTTTCAGAAAACTTGTCTTTAAATTGTGCTCGACTGTCGTCTGATTCCGTTTCTAACTGCACTTCTTCTAGTAACCTGTGTGGAATGACTTCTGACCCCTTTTCATTTGATCTTAGATCTTCTGACTTCTTGTCAAAAAACATGATATCATCTTTGTTGTCAGATATTATTTCTACATCAGAATGTCTGGATTTCTGGGCACTCTAAAGTGATTAAAATAGCAAATACTGTTTCAGCTTTTTCCTTTATTTTATATAAAATTATATAAAAAAGTATAAATATAACTGTTTTTATCATCAATCATATTACATCAGCCTAAATAAATCTGAATAAGAAAACTAAGACTACCTTTTATAATAAAAGCATACATAAGATACAGAAAATAAAATCATGGATTTGATAAATGTGTCTCAAGATTAAAGTAATTTGAGTAAAATAAGTGTCATACATTTTCTTTACAAATTCTATGATAATCTCTTAAAATATCATTTGCCTAAATTCAAAAAATTGAATGAATTCTGTATATTTTTTAAACAGGAATGTTACAATCCTATTCAATTACACATGATACTTGTTATTCCATGCACAAGGTCCTCATGCGTATAATGGTTTGTTTATAAATTTTGTGTTTTGTTATCATTAATCCTTACTTTTTTTAATTAACTTTCTCATCGTATAATTTTCTTGTATGGTAAGTATTTGTTTTTATGCATATGTTGTATGATATGCAAAGTAAATTTAATATGGACAGAATAGCCACATCATTATATGATTTTCCAGCAGATATATATAATATACAAACTTAGTGTAAAATGCTAACCTTAGGTCTGTGTCCATGCTTATGAGGGGCGTCTTCATCCTGAGAGTTATAGTCTGAACTTGAATCTAAAATACAGCCCTCTTTCTGTTTACGAATTGAAACTCTGTCCCTTTCTTTCTTTGTTTTTAGTCGTTTCTTGTAAGGAGATGAACACCTTCTTTCCTCTAGTTTCTCAGGTACAGGACTAACCACAGAACAATCAGCCCCTTCCCTCTGCTCACCATCAGATACAGTAATCAAAAGTTCAGATACATCAGGCTTATTTTGTTTACAATACAGTCTGATTTTCTCACCTAAGGAATTATTACTTCCAATACTTTCAAAATTAGAATCATGGTCTCTAACTCCAGAATCACTTCTATCATCTGTTTCCATTCTTATTTCTTCCTTATTTGAACGACTGGATCCAGATGGTGGTTTGTTGAACAGTAACTGCAGTTTATTATACATGTCTTTGTTCTGATCTCCGTCTACCAATAAAAAAGACATACCATCATCTTTACCTTTCCCAGATTTAAACTGTTTCAGCAGTTCTGCCTGATCCATCCCTTGAGACAGACTACCCATGTATTGAATATTTACTTTTTCTCTGTTATCATATATTTGTCTCATCACGTCAGATTTTTCTACATCACTACCCTTCCCATCATTCCTTGATGAACCCACATCACTTCCTTTTGACAAACTAGTATATTCCTCCATATGAGAGGAAATCCTTTCACCTTTTGGTTCCTCGTCTTGTTTCGTAATCCTTAATTCATCATTTCCTGAAAAAGTTTTAGGCGATGTTTCAACCTCATGTTTATGTATTTTTTTCACTTCTTCCCTTCTTGGTGAATTAACTGGTGTGTTTTGAGGAGATTTTGTCTGGTCAGTGTTCATTAGATTACTGAGAGTTACAAATCCAAATGATTTTAGGTAAGTTGTTTGATTACTCTCACTATTCTTTTTTTCTCCTTCTATTTCAATTTGTCCAGCTTGTCTATTGCTAAGATTTTGGTCTTTGGTTGGAGTAGGCCGTAATGGAGACTGCAGATGCTTCACCACATCATCATCAACTTTTCTGTGTTTTAAGGCAACAGGAGACTGTGTTCCTAAAGGCTGTGTCCTTGAATGACTTTGAGCTTCATCCCATTCAGGGGATTTTGAACGAGATGGATGATATTCAGAATCAGGTTTTTCAGCAGCTAGCCATGATTTCTTATGCGGTTTTTCAGAATATTCATCCTGCACAGATCGTTTAGGTGAATCATTGATGACTATTATATCACTGCCATGTTTCTGATCATCACTCATCATTATGACATCCTCAGATTGTCGTTCTGAACTCGGATTGTTTAATATTTTCTCACTATAAACTTGATCCCTTTCTAAATTTTTCTCTGAACTAAGGAGTTGTTTATCATAAGATGAATTCAATATTCTTTGTTGATCCAGCACTCGCTCATTTATAGTTTTAGAGGAGGTAGTTGATAAATTTATTTGTTTTTCATTATCTGAGATTTGTTCTTGCAATGAACCATACCTTGATGTCTTCTCCATATTTGCAGCAGATGACATATCAGCCCCTTCATAAAGTATATCTGAAACTTTTATCTGGGTGATTTCTTTTGACTTGTCTATTATCTGCTGTTGTCCTGGTGACATTTGACTATGTGGAGACAAAGTGTGAACAGAAGGCATGGCAACATTTGACCCAATTCTGACAGGTGAGATTGAGGCTCCTTGAAACTGAGAAGAGTGAACAGACTGAATACTACGAGGGGGTAGCATCATGTGTTGTTGATTTAAAACATTTGGTGGCATCTGTTGTTGTGATATATTTGGTGGCATGTGTTGTGATGATACATTTATTGGTGTGTGTTGTAATGATACATTTGGTGGTATGTTTTGTAATGATACATTTGGTGGCATCTGTTGTGATGATGCATATAATGACATCTGTTGTGTTGATACATTTGATAACATTTGCTGCCTGATATCAGCCGTATTTATTGATCTCAACTGCTGATGTGAGGATTCCATCAAATGTGGTGGAATATGTTGAAGTGAGGTGTGAGTTGAAATTGGTGGCAGATCTGAAGGTTGATTGTACGATAAAGTAGAATCAAAGGATCTTTGTCCATATGAAGGGATTTCGTTTTTATCTTTTTCGTTATTTTGTTGTATCGAGTTTAAAACTTGCAATCCTTTCAAAATATGTGGTTCTATTTGACCTATTGGATTTCCAAACTGATATTCTGGCCCCGACCTTGAACTTTGACCTAACCATGAGTTCTCTGCAGAGGACATAGGTACAACTCTACCACCAGATGTAATTCCTGAATCCTCAGTGGCAGATAATGGTGGAGTAGGTCGATCAGATATATCTGAATCATGTCTTGAATCTGGTCTTTTTTGTTTATCACGAGCTTCTGCAATTATATGTATAAAACTCCGCATTTCTATCCAATTTGTATAGATTCAATTTCTTCAAATAAATAGTATATTTCAAACTTTTTTTAAAAATTTTGGCATGCATTCAAACAATTTTTCTTTACATGCACATGATGCAGAAGACTATAAAAAAAAATACTGAAGCACCATAGTTGCAAAAGAAGAGTTGAAATCAGTTTGGATTCGTAGTAGCAAAAACTTTCTTGTGGTATCAGGAACTTTAGTGTTTTTTTGTTGTTCTTTTTTTTTTTTGGGGGGGGGGGGATATTTGAAGATGAATACAACTGTCTGATGGCAATTTTATCTCAAGCGATGGTATACCATACATTTGCCGAAATTGCATGCAGTCTTTTAATTACTGTTGTGATCTTAAACTTCCACCAAGTCAAAATCAAAAGGCGTTTTTTTTTTTCACAAAAGGTGCATTTTTGATTTATAGCCCAAAAGATATTGTCTGGAAATGAAACTTTTTCCAAAATTTTATTCTATATACCTGCACTGTGACCTTCAACTTTGTTCTCATGATACAGAGAAAAAACAATAAGAGTTTTGTTCCTTCCAAGGGTCACTTCCAAGCTAATTTTTGTGAAGGTTTGATAAAATAGTTCAAATGAAAAAAGATAATTAATTTTGTCCCATTCACAGTACATCAAGATTGATAAATATCTGATTTATAACTCAAAAGATAAGTACCTACCAACGGACGGAATTACCAGTTTTTCAATCTTTTTTACTTAAAAGGCCCACAGACCTGTCTTTATTTTGTCAAAAGTTTAATGTAGTCTTTGAAAAAAAACAATGAATTTATGAAATGTTGTTATTTTGAATATCAGCAGCAAAACTCCTGAAATAAAGGTAATTTAACAATAAATGATTCACCTTGTAGAACATTGATTCTTCTTGATCTTAAGTTTTCTTCATCCTTTTTCAGCTGAAATAATTGAATTCCTATAATAACTGTATACTTGTTATAAGTTTTAACAAACAAATAAGGAATTGATACATATCTTGTTCTATAAAACTATACAGTTTCACTTGTGGTGTTGAGACAGAGTAGAGCAATGATTTTTATTATGAAAGTGCTGCTATATTTTTACAAAACTAGGACAAAGTTAATATGAATTTCATTGTTGTTTGTTGCTGAATACCAAATTTGTTTTTCGTTTATTGTTTTGTACATAAATAAAGCTGCTAGTTTTCTCATTTGAATTTTTTACATTTGTCTTTTATGGGCCTTTTATAGCTTGCTATGTTATATGGGTTTTGCCCATTGTTGAAGGCCTGACAGTGAGCTATAGTTGCAAACTTGTATGTCATTTGGTCTCTGGTGGAGAGTTTTCTCATTAACAATCATACCACATTTTCCTATTTTTATATTGCTAGGAAACTCAATTTGTTTGACAATTTTTTAAGTATACTAGACTTGAAAAATCTATGAGCAAACTTTTTGTTTCCTTTCTTGATATCTGTTGAGCTCCTCCGTAGATTCTTCTATTAGTTTCCGTAACCTGGTAATATTCTGATCGACGTCCTGTAATTCCTGACGTGTATCTTCCTCTTTAATACTGATATCATATACAGTATCAACCAAACTCTCCGCTGTGGAAGTCTCTGATGGTCGCCTCATTCTAACGTCTCGACTGATAGTAGGTAAACTCATGTCTGATGATGACATCACTGTTATAAATAAAGTACTGTTAATAAATTAGCAATAGCAAGCTCAAGCAGTCATGGCAAAATTTTAAGGGCCATGCACTTCTTAATCCATGATAGTCTAACAGCTCTTAATCCATGATAGTCTAACAGCAAAGCACAGAATTTTCAGTATCAATTATGTATACATCATATATATACTGAACCAAAGATTTTATGTAGCAATTTCATCTTCAGTGCAAAAGGTTAGGGGTTTGATCAATAAAAAATATAACAGCACTTAATTGATATTATTGTTGATTGCTTAACATCCATAGTTTTCATATTACAAAAACACTTTTCCTATACAGCCTGTGTCATATTTTTGGAATGTGATTATTAGAGTTATGTTGCTTTGGACAACATCAACATGTTTTGACCTACTGAATCTCATAATGTTTTAGGACAATGTATTTATCTGTAGATAACCAGTGAATTTATCTATGAGGGTGTGGATGGGGGGTTTACAGAATAGAGAATAATGGTCAAAAAATATAAAGAATAGAGAAAAATGGACCAACAAATAGAGAATAATGAGGTTCTAAAATATAAAGAAATAGAGAAAAGTGGCCTAAAAAATCAAAGAATACAGAAATGAAGGACCCCCCCTCCAGACCCTCATTTATTACAAAGTCTGCTTAAATGTATAAAATATTGATAGTTAGAACCTTGACAAACAACAAGATTTTGTTATACCAATCAAATGCTATATATGTGCCCTCACAACTAAAATTCAACAATGACATGTAATAAACATACCTTGAGGTTGAGTCAAATATCCAGATGAGGTAGACCAAGTTGTTACTGTTGTAGTGCTGGTTAATGCTACAGTCCCTACTGTACAGAATGGTTCAGTCTTTGGTATCCCACTACCAAGCCATGTAGAAACAGAGGGAGCCACTAATATCTTTTCTCCAACTGATTCATGGCCTGATTCTGTATGATATGTCTGCTGACCTAATGAAACACCATCAAACCAAGAAGTCCCAGACTGTGTCATATTATCTGATTTTATCTGACTGTGTGGTAATAGTTCTCTGTTATTCCACGGAAGACTTCCCGTAACAGTAAGAGATGGTTCAGATTGAGAAGTTTTGTTCTGAGATACGGAGGAGACAACATTACTCTCTATGCTACCTCGGTAACTTGCCAGTCCTCCATCTGATAGTTTGTACGGAGATACTGCAATCTTGTCATCATCCTGTCTTCCACTGGAACTGAGATTTGTAACTGTGGATTGGATATGCTTGTATTCATTTGATTTTAATTGTAAATGGTCCAGTTTTTCAGGTTTTTCTGAAATTTTCTCCCTTGCTTGTTCTTTACGCCATAATTCTAACGGGTCAATTGATGTCACTGATTCTAACTTGGTGTTAGTTTCTGGATTTGATCGCAGACTATCACTAAAATTAAAGTCTTTAGTTGTATGTAAACTTGACAAAGAATTAGATCTACTACGAAAATTGGTAATGCTAGTTTTAATAGGCCCTAATACATCACTTGCTTTGGTCTGGTTGCTTTTTTCTTTATGATCTACATGAGCATCAGATATGAAAGTTTTTTCTTGTGAATCAGTGATAAAAGGCATCTCTGTTTTAACTCTGTGTCTGAAGGAATCATCCTGGGATTTCCTTGGAATATCTGCTCTGTGAGCATGTGGACTACTGACTGGAGAATCCCTTAGGAAATCAGTACTGTGATCATGTTTCTGTGGACTACTGAACTGAGAATCCTTCAGGATATCAGCTCTGTGAGCATGTTTCTGTGGACTACTAGCCTCAGAATCTCTCTGGATATCAGCTTTGCCAGCATGTGTCAGTGGACTACTGACCTGAGAATCACTTGGAATATCTGTTTTGCCAACATGTTTCTGTGGAGTACTGACCCGTGATTCCCTTGAAATATCAGCTCTTCCTGTATGTTTCTGTGGACTACTAACATGTTTTACTGGACTTCCAGGACTACAGAATTTTTCTATGAACTCTCGTTCTTCTTGGCTATACTGCGGTGATTGCGGGCAACTTGATCTATCAGGACTTTTCACTGCACTTGCAGGCTCCTTTTTAATTTCACTACTTGATAGAATCTTTGTTTTCAGTCTATTCAATTCATTCATACTCTCAATATCTGAAAAGCCTGCTTTTGATTTTTCCCACTGATTCAAAGATTTATCCAAAAGTTCTAATTTGTCAACACTGGTGGACAGCTGTGAGCTTATTCCTGGATAATCATCAGCACTTTCTACTTTGATATTAGACAATAATAAATTTTGCTCAAGCTCATCAATATCTGGCTTGATATCAGCCTCAATTAGTTCTGCAATCTGAAGCTGGACTTCTGGTGATAACTCTTCCAAACCAAATTCGCCATAATGCTCAAGGTTATCATACAACCCTGACATCTGCAAGTTAAATCTCGGTAAAGATAAACGGTTTTGTGATTTAGCATATGTTCTCAAAAATTCTGCTAGCTGTTGTCTTTCTTTACGAGATCTAGGTGAATTTACCATTTTTAATAAGGATTCCCGGCTAGTAGATTCTACAGAAGATCGCAATTTAGACGGTTCAGCTGAATCAGTCTCTCTTAAGCCTATATTTTTCTCTGACATAGCCGACTCATCCTCTTCACCTTCATGTAGAGTCAGGCTTTCTTCATTTATAAGAGATTTATTTGTTTTGTCTTGTTGTGACTGACGAACTTCTAATTCAATCTCTTTTCTTATTTCATCAATATCTCTAGTTTTGCTTGTTACTTTTGTCTTGCCTGCTCTGGATATTGACTGACTAGTTGATTTTTTCTGTGAACTTTTTTCAATCTGAGATTCATCAGGGCTTTCAATGCTATGTATATCTATAATTTTCCTAGGACTAACATCCTTCACTTTGTTACCAGAGGACCTGCTAGGGCTCTCTACCTTAGAAACTGGTTTCTTATTCTTTGACTTTGTAGTAGAACTTACAGGAGTTATTTCCTTGACAGAACTGCTTGAATTTTCTGAGACATTTTCTTTCTTTGGAGTAGTGGATGATATTTTATCGCTCTTTTTCGATCTCATATCAATCAATTTTAAAGGCACATCTAAATCTGTATCATCAAGAACACCTTTGACATAACTTTTATTTATTTCAGCAAATTTAGCCAACTGTTTATTTATTTCTTCATTTTTTTCTACTTTCTTTCCCTTTTGCACATCCTTCTTTGCTTTTTCTCTCCTATCTCTAAGCTCTTTACATAGTTTTTCTGCTCGTTCTAATACTGTGTCACCTTCATCTGACCTTGGAGAAGTTTTACTACCACTTGCTTTTTTCTTTTTAACTTTTGCCTCTGGTTTTTTCTTAACATCGTGTTTTCTGTCTTTGTCTACTGATGACCGTTTTGTTGACATTTCAATATCTGTTGTACTATCAGCTTCAACAACAGGAGACTCTTGTGATCGACTCTTACTATTTTTAGTTGTCCTACCACCAACTGGATGCTCTTTTTCTGGAATGTCACTACATCTTTTCCTCCGTTTTGAAGTAATAAAATCCTGACTCACTTGAGGCTGTGACAAATATCCTGATGTTTCCTCTGATTCATCCTCAAACCTGACAGATTTTCTATTATCATCTACATCAATTCTACGTTTATCAACATCCTGATCCCTTTCTGGTCTAACATATTCATATCTATTGTACCTTTCCCTGCCAGAATATTGTTCATTTGACTCTTGATGGCTAGGCCTTCTGTTTCTATTTTTGTCCTGGTATTGGAATTCCATATCATCAGGAGTCTGATTTGGGTGTTCCCAAGGATCAGGCGAAGTGGAATCCCATGGTTGTCTCCACTGATAGGGAAACATCTGCATCATTCCACTTTTATGCCAATAAGGGTTTTCCATGCTGTCTTGGTAATTATAACCTTTTTCATAGAACTGACCATGTCTGTTTCTGTAAGGTCTCCTGTTTCCAAAGAATTGACCTCTAGCTGCAGGTTGAGAATATGACCTCTGGTGTCCTCGTGTGTCTCTACCATAACTTGTTTCCATTCTGTCTGTTTCTGAATGAGGATCATCATCTTTTTCACTGAAATAAATCGGAAAAATTGTGAAAATGTTACAATTTACATGAAGTTGCAGGTGTATCTTAAAAAGGGTGCAAAACTGTCTAGACTCAGGACAATTTGGAGCTTGACATATGTCAAAGTCAAATGTATACATAGTGTTTTGATGAAGAATATTTGTTGACCTCTATATGTTTTGAAGTTTTTTTAGGTGTTGGGTTGCTGTCTCATTGACATATACTTTACAACTGCATTTATTCATACATATCTGGAATTGTAACGATTACAACATTTAATATATTGTTTTAAACTATATGTTTTATCTTGAAAATCTGGATCATATGATTTCAAAATTCCAGTCATTATTAAATTGTATCCATCTATTCCTTACTCTGTGTTGTACAAAAACTTTTGTCATTACAACATGTACAATGTACATGTATTACATTTTATTTCACAGTAGATCAATATTATAAGCGTAGGTACTAATTTTTTACGAACTTCTTGAGTATAAGTAAACCATGAATTAAGCATTGAACAATATACAAAGCTTCTAAAGGCCTTAATGTGACTGTCATACAAGTGAGAGGTTTAGCTAGTTATAAAACCAGGTTTAATCCACCATTTTCTATATAAGGAAATGCCTGTACCGAGTCAGGAATATGACAGTTGTTTTCCATTCGTATGATGTGTTTGAGCTTTTGTTTTTGCCATTTGTTAAGGGACTTTCCATTTTGAATTTTCCCTGTAGTTCAGTATTTTTGTTATTTTACCTTTTTTGTATGAAGAACTTGTAAAAAATAGGACATGAAGTTAAATTTCCTAAATCAATGAAAATTGGAAACGCATAAAATAAACTTTAATCTGAAGTAATACATGTATTATGTGTGTGTGTGACATTGACAAGCTTTTCTGTAGAATTACTTACATACAAGCAGTTCATACTTGAGAGAACCTTAACTAAATATCTGTTGGATTTAAATATAGTCATTACATACCTAGAGTGTAACCTGGATTGTATTTCCTGTGGATCTAAGGTTTCAATCTGTACTCTGCTTTCCTCTATAGCCTGTTTGTGTTTGTCTCCGTTCAAATGTTTTCCATATTCTATAAGGTTTGGAGATATTGTAAAACACAAGGAACATTTGTGTACTGCACCCCTGTAAATAAAACACACATTATGTATCTTATTTTCATTGCATAAAACAGACTTTAACTATAAAGCATCTCTTAGTAAAAACAACGATTATGGTTAGGGATTTTAAAAACAAGGTCTTTAAATACTGAATATTAAAATAGCCAATCCTTTAAAAAGATTCATTAACTTTCGCTAAAAATATATATATTTATACATGCGTTTCTGCTAACACAACCAAACCTTATTTTCTTTCTTATTATGCATGTTCTAAATGTTAACAATTTAAGTGTAAACTGTTGATCCAATGAGGTATAAGTAATTAAAATTTTGCCTATCTTTCTACCCTAATTTATTCAAATGGAGAACACTGGAAATTGGGAGGATAAATACATTCATTTGGGGTTATGACACACGTTAACTTTGAAGAGGAAGCCCACGTAGCTTGAACATTGATCCCTACCTCCCAGGCAATGAGCCCTATCAGTGGAGCCCAAAGCCCTATCACTGGAGCCAGGAGCCCAAAGCCCAAATCCCTAATATGTAAAAGTAGGATGGAGCCAGAAGCCTGTGTTATCCCCCAACTCATTGTCCTAGCTAGATCAATATAATTGAGAGCGCAATACCACACCTCCTTCAAGCTGTCCCCACTGTCCTATCATATAAAAAAGTGTGCCTTATTTATAAATCAAAGACAATAAATATATAATGAGAAAGGATTGAGAAAAGTAGCAAGAATTCAGTGATTTTCACACTTTTTTCATAAAAATAAAAATATTGTTGCATCCCTTAACAATGCATTCTTTCAAGTAAATGTTGTCTCAAAATTAAAGTTTAACCCAATTATTTATTTGTTGATTACAAGAGATGAATATGCTAATATTTAGATAATTGCCTTTTTGAAATAAATAAACGCCACCCAAATTCGAACTTGATATGTGTTTTGTGGTAATAAGCATAACATTTGGTTGAGGCAAACTAAAGTTAGAGAACGGAAACCAATTTGGGGACGTATGTTTGTACGGACGGACAAGGGTAACACTTAGTGCACCGGCGGTGACTGCGGGGGCATAAAAAATAATAAAATTTATTTTTGATTGAAAGAAATAATGATTTAGAAAACCAATTTTATTTATAAATATCGATATGCACATATATTTATACATAACGTTTACCTTGCAACAACTCTACAATAGAGGATTTGAGTAACCATATAACAACTACATTGTCATTTGTATAAAACAACCCAGCATGTGCAGATATATACAGCATAGGTACATTGTAGGAAAATTTAACATTTATTTTGACCAGTTTCAGGATTACGTACCCTTTTGTTGATTCAATGCTAAACATATGAAATTTTTATAGAAAATCAACAGCCCTTCCCTATGTTCTCTTATATTTGACAATTCCGTATTTAATAGCAGTAATCCCCTATGACAAACTTTTAAATAAAGATATTAGTTAAAACAAGTCCAAATATGGACTTATTCAAGTGAACCTTTTAGAATGTCCTCCTTGACTTTAGTGACTCAGCATGAGTTTTTTGGGATTGTTAAGGTAATTTAGGACTTTTTGCAAGCAATAAACACTAGCACAACATGGACAAACAAGTGAGTAATCTATATTTCAAGTGTTATAAAGAAAATTTCTTTAATAAAGTCTGTGGGTTTTCTTTAGGCTTTAGGCTTGAGCTGCCAAATAATCCACATTTTCTATTAAATGCAATGAAACAATTAATATAATTGCTGTAAACGGCGTTTCCTTTTCAGATATGTATAAAATGTCACGCCTCTTTTGTATTTTGCTGTATTGATATAATTGTGTTTTGAAAATTTCATAATACACAGACTTACAGAAGGGGTTAAGAACCTTAAGACACCTGAAGAAAAGTGAGGGTAGCTTTTTTTATTTATACAGTATATGTACTACATGTTTTCCATAATAACATGTTGTAAGTTTTATCATTAGCAGATACATTTGTAATAATTACTCACTTTTTTCTCTGTTCAATTTTGATGTGGTGCATAAGTGACCATTCATGATCTTGTAATTCCTAGAAGAAAAAATGTAGGTGAAAGTAAATTAAAATATATGTAGCAAAGTTGTCATAACTTCTTTGTATATTTAATATAATAGATTATACAGAAAGATACTTGTTGGACGAATAGTGTTTTGTAATGCTATAGTACACAAATATCAATAGGTTATTTCTTTTTTAAATTGGTTAAAATGATTATATATCACTTTCAACTTATTAGGCTTTGCATGGGCAGCAGCCAATTGAACTTGATGAGATACAATCTTTAATTGGCAAAAGAAAAGTGTGTTATAACAGAATCAAATCAGTATAAATTGACAAATGGTCTATTGTAAAATGTATTTTATTTCAGTGCATATTTCACAAAGGATACATGGACTTCTATGCAACATGGATGTCACAGCATACAAGAGTATTAATGTATATATGAGTCATAGTTTGCTATGTAAAAAAAAATTGCATGCAAATTTGTATTCATAACTGTAAAACTGCAATTGACACCAGGGCTTCCAAAACGGTCGTATTTTCCGGACAAGTCCGATAGATTATATAAATGACTTGTTGTGCCTAGGCTGAAACAGATATTTTAATATAGTTCAGAAAAAAAATTGAAGTTTATGCGATCTTTTTGACCTGACCTTTGGCCTTAAACAGCCCACATTTCAATTTGACACCAACCTTTTCAGTGACATATGAAATCTTACATATGTCACATGACTGTTCTTCAGTACTTTCTGTGTTTTCTGTTCCAGACATCTTAATCTGAATACAAAATTATGGATTTAAAAAAATGAAAACAAAGAACTATAATAATACTATACATATTCAAAAACTGTATATTGGTGCAGAAATCAAGTCAAGGTTTTGAAAAAGTTTACAAAATTCAAAGTACTGGTATATTCTTCAACAAAATTTTAAAGCTAGAAAAGATGTTATTCCAAAACCGTGTACAAATGAATAATAAAACAGGCGAAAATCTTTTAATTTTACATAAAACTTTAGTACAGCATTTATACATGTACAATGATGTAGTAATCTCCCTTTTTCATTAATCTTCCAGAAAGGTTTTATGCAAACAGTTAAAAAAATAGATGTAATAGACGTAAAAAAAAATACAAAAGAGTGAAGAATTTTTTTTAATTGACTGCCAGAAATTTCAATTTTACACATGTTCATGAGTTTGTTATTAAAAAGACATACACGAATAAGTTATTTAAAAGACTGTTATGGGAATAGTTTTAATTTTTCTAAAGAAATTATGCTGGAAATGTTGATTTATTGGTAAAACCAAGACTATATAAATCCTTGGTAAATCAGAAATGTATTGTTCAGGCCTCAACCATGAAGACAATAATATACATGTAAGGTATTTTCAAAAAGGTTGTACTGTCATTGATAGTGTAAAAATAATTGATGACCTTGGCAAGGTAAATCCTTGGTCTGGTATAGTAATAGGTTCTAATTATTTCCTGAAGTGATTTAATTTTGAAAAAAAATAAATAATGATATATCTATATACAATGATATAGCTACTTATACAGACTTTGTCCTCTTTCCAATGTAACACATGCCCCATATTATTATACTTTTATTGAATGTTGAAGTAATCAGTGTGTTTCATGAAAAAGATTGTCAATCATGTCAATCTGTTCAAAAGAATTTACAAATATGCAGACTGCAATATCATTCCTCATACCTTCAAACCTTGTACAACTGCAAAAGTTTAAAGGCATGGCTGAACCTAGATAAATAAAACTTAAATGCGTTTTATGTTCATGAAAATTAAGAATTTGTATCTGTAACTAATCAATAATTGGGTCACAATTATTAGGGATTCACTTTAGACAATACAAAAAATTGCATAAATTTTAACTTGTTAATTACCTTGTCTAAAATTTTGGTACATTTGTTAATTATCTTTTTAACAACTAGCATGACTAGTACATGTTACTTGTATTTGGAAATACCATACAAGAAAAGTTTGATCTAAATAAAGAATTAACAACCTTATTTTAAGGAAAAGTATGATTTTTAAAAATAAAGAATAAATATAAGACCCTTATTTTAAGGAAAAGAAATCATTAACTTAAATTCTTTGAAAAAAATAATTTTTAAAAGCTTTTTTTCAGGAAAAGTATAAAATAAAAAGGTCAATAAAAATGCATTAAACACCCTATAAAAACTCCCCTTATCAACCCCGTATAGACATTATAAATGATAAAATATCAGGAAAATAAATGAAAACGAGGCACCTTCTAAAATTATAATATTTGAATAATTCGATTAGAAAATGAAAATTTTTCCAACTTTGGACACCAGAATAACAACTCAATAATGAAATTATGGAAATGAAAACTAGCTCTGAGCACCATACAATCCTTCATCTTTAATGACATATATATTTCTTAAATTCAATATTAAAAGACAATCCTAGTAGGACTTTGAAAAATAGTAAATCTATGTTTGAACAGAGAAATGCCCCCAAAACAAGCATTTACAGGTAAACCTTTTCAAAACAATGTAATTGAAAAATTATTTAGTTGCATGTCCCTTAATCTATTGGTCCACGCCGAAACATGCCATACATAGAACTCTTATATATCTAGGTCCAGTCTTTCATGCATGCTTTTAAACTTTTACAGGTGCACAGGCAGAGATGTATATGTATATGTGCTGTACATGTCTCTGGCTCAGGTTATTTTGTACTTGAGTCAATTTTGTGGTGTAAACATGACCATATTTGGCAATATCTTATAATGAACCTTAACATACGAATGATAATTCAATATCTCCGGCACTACAAAGGATATTATATAAGTCGAATCAGTTCAGTGTTGGGCTTTTTTTTCTTTATGGGTCCCTATACTTTAAGGTTAGGGTTAATTTATGGTTTGGGTTAGGTTTTAGGGTTAGGGCTAGTGTCAGGGTTAGGTCAGGGTTACATGTAGGTAAGGGTTAGGGTAAGGATTAAGGTTAAGGACAGTTTAGTAAGCTCCATATGGGTTGGGACCCCTATAAAAGAAATACAATGCCCAGTGTTGTTCCAATAGTTTTAAACTTGTATACATGACATTATGGAAATGAGATTATTTGATATACATGTAAATGACATATGTATGAAGTCTGAGGATTAAAAAGATTGATATGTCTGTTAAATAATAATTCACAGGTTCATGGCTAGATTGGTCTAAGTTACAGTGTGTTCTTTTCGTTTGTAATTGTAGATCTTTGCACTTAATGATTTTATTTTCTACATTGAACTAAACTTTGATTTATAAAAGTCATACTAATCATTAATGGGCAATTTTTTTGTTTGTTTATTTTAAAATATTGTATATATTTATTGTTTATCTGTTTATTGTAATAATGATTATTCTGCTCAGCCATTAGTGTCCTGATTGGCATAATAAAATATCTTGTATCTCATGTCGATAGGGTATCAGGTCCGTTCGCTCCCAGAACACGTTTGCACCCTACACATTCGCTCCCCACTCATTCACCCTTTTGGGTTTGTTAAAAATATCAATTCTTGAATTTTCTAATTGAAATATATATATTTTTTTTGTGATGATGATAATTCTTGAATGTGACTTATTTATGATTACTGTTATTTGGTATTTACAAAGCTAATTTGATATTATTGTTATGTGTTTGAAAATCATGATTGTTGTTATAACTATAGCTTTGGTGTAGTAACCTTAAATATTTGCTTGCTCATTAAAAGTTGCTGTCATATCATTGTGACGAGTTTGATAGCCGTTTGATATCTTCTGCCTTTCTTTTACAGATCTTAGATGAGGGAACTTGGGCTTTGATCGTCATGACAATATCTATTATTCATTTCGTCAAAATAATTCACAAAACTCTAAACGAATCCTGTGTACCATGGTTTATGTTTTTAGAATGTTTCTTTATTTTAAAACAATGAAGAAAAAATAATATCTTTGTTTTATAGCAATATCTGCGACTCATTTAACAAAAAATCTTACGAGAAAAATGTTTTGTAAATACAAATAAATGGTAAAACAATGGAATCATTTATTTCAGTTAAGTGAAGTCATTAACAGTTCTGTGTAACTAACTATCAATTTCAGTCATAACATTTTTGTGTGAAAAGAACCCTAGAGCTATTTCTGTTTTAGGAGCATACGATTTATTTTAAAATACCAGTTTCATATCTTTTGATTGGTCTCTCTTTCTATAATGTTTTGTCAATTATATTTACATTTGTCATTCTCCTTTTTATAATAGCATTATAAATGTATATTAACTAAAACACAATTAAAAAATTATTCATAACAAAACCTTTAAAACGGTACAAACGTGTGGGTGCAAACATGAAAGGGGGCGAACATGAATGGGAGTGAAAATGATTTTTGGGCGAATGGACCCGGATTTCTGCTTAGATAGTCCCCTCAGAAATGTTACAATGTAATACTCTAATTCTAATAGGGATCCTTTCCATGTTCAAAATTAATATGGACCATGGGAGTCTCATTTATTTCTCCAAAACCCCTACATCACATATCTTTTTATGTTATTTTTCGGTATGTAAACAGGATAAAACATGCATGGCGATTATTTATGGCTGGGAAAGTTTTACAAAAAAACATCTCATTCATATGTGCAGTCGATGACAATCATCTTTCATAAACAGGAAACACTGATGCTCTGAACAAAAAAGAGCATGACACGACGATGCATATTTACTTGTATTTTTTCTGTAGTGCGAGGTTTTTACATTTTATCTTCGATACTTTTCTTGCTTTTTCGTATGTTCATGTAAACTTCCGGTTTCCGGAAAGCCTTGGGACAGACCTTATCAATGCTTACAAACCATTTTTGGAACCATGAGGCTCACTAAAGAACTGTTTTATTATAAAATTAACAAAGTAAAATGGTTAAAGACTGTCTGGAAGACTAGAGGAAAATACAAAAACCCTCCCCTGAAAGTGCCACAAGCTATAGAACAATTAGGTAGCAAAAAATTTAAAAAAAAATTCTTACTTTGTCATTGATCAAGGATTTGTATAGTATACTGTTACTAATCAAATCCTTGCATTGATCAAGGATAATTTTTCATAGATTTATTATAGTCCAACCACTAGGTGTATGTCAAACACAGACACTTGTTCGATGTTGTCTGTGATGTTAAAAGCAAGGATTTGATCATTTGTATAGTGTTGATAGCTAGTATACTGGTATATAAATCCTTAGTCAAAGCAAAGATGTGTGTTTAAGGATTTCAAATCCATATATTATAATAGACCTTATCGCTATTTGGGAATCTGCGCAAACAATTTCGTCGTCACAATAGAAAATGTCTGACGCCATACAGGAAAAGTGATTGTTGTACATGTTGTATGACATCAATAGTCTAAGTGTCGCAGATTCCCAAATAGTGATAAGGTCTATAGAGAACTTTCTAATTTGTGCCCTTTCCAGTAAGTTTCCTATTTCACAATAATTATGTTACAACTTCACAGTAAGAACCGATTGTTCGATGACATTGGTAATGTCAATTGACCTCGGGTCAACTGGTGTATGTAACTCATTTATTAAAAACAACTCAAGATTGGTGTATGCAACAATGTTCCATCAGAGACCATGCAATGATATAGATTTTAGCAACTATATGTCAATGTATGGCCTTCAACAATGAGAAAAGGCACAGTCATTTTAGGTGCTGATACTGTGTATTAATACAATGTGACCTTCTGTTAAAACTACATTTGTATCTAAAACTTTCACTTAAAAGTATCACATTATGTTATTATGTTATAATATACTTACAAAATGCTGACTTAATCTTTTACCTTCGTCATTTGAACTAGGGTGGATAGTTGTCTCATAGGCAATCATATCACATCTTATTTTTATATTAAATTTAGTAGTGAGAAAATTTAAGCCATTAGACAGACAACCCTAATGATGAACAAGATGCATGAATAATTTTTTGTAAGATCACTTCTAAGTTCTCACACAACAGATTACCATACAGTGTATGCAAACTGTCCTCAAACAGATTCCAATCCTTTTAACTTAAAAATCAAGGCCTTACCATTACTGCATAATAGGACGTTTTAATGTTGCTTGATTAAATAACAAATTAAAATATTAACATTGGATCTTCATCTTATTTAGCCTGTGTTTTGAGTTAAAACATATATATCATGAATATCAAATGTTCTGTCTTTACAATTTTTTTAATGGCACAATTTTAATGTACATGTATGGGAAAACTGGTTACCATTATAAGCATGTACCTTCCTTCAAAAAAGTTCTTTGATATGTAAAATGTTGTAAACACATTCAAGATTATGTACTATAACACTGTATTTGCAATTATAATATTTAAATGCCACTCTAATTCATATTTAGTGTAAATATACAACAGATGAATACAGATTTTGTTCTGCAATATGAATATGACATGGCACATTTTAAAGTCTGATTGATTGTTGTTTGCTTTACATGGATGATGGTGTGGCAAAAACATTTTAAGGAAGAAACACTTATTGGCTTTATGCAAAATGGGTTGCATTACTTGCATTCATTCAGACTCCTGTCTATATTAAAACATTCTATGTCACTTGCATTCCTATTCTTTAAAACTTGAATACAACTTTTTATTCAGTTCTTTGTTATGCCCACTCTAGAATTGGGCTATTTTGCTATTCTAGAAGTGGTGATAAATTGCAATCATGAACAAGGGTCAATCTATTCATCCAACAAATAATTATGTCAAGCTTCTCTCAGGAACTACTGCAGTGAATGACTTCATATTTGATTTACAGCTTGACAGTGATGAGTTGTATAAACGTGTGTGCTTTTAAATCTGTCATACACCAACATGACTTACCATGCTTACTGTTTGCTAATACTTTGACTTTTTCAAAATATTTAATAAAAACAAAATATTTTTGTCACTTTTCTTAGGAACTACTTATTAGAATGACTTCATGTTTGGACAACTGAGTGACAGTGATGAGTTGTATATAAATTGTAATTAAGGGTATGCTTAGCATGACAATTAATGCATGCAACTTCTTGTTAAAATTTGTTGTTCTGCTAAGATATGAATGTACTTGCCCGGTATAAAAAATTTTAGGTTACTTGTAGTATGCAGTAAACTCTTTCATGTTAAGTTGTAAAACACATTCATGTTTTAGTCCTCTTGAATCCAGAGTGCACCTATTAAAGACTTAAATTTTTTTCTGCTTTATAGGTGTTGACATTGTTGATCCATTGGAGGAATTCAGAACTGATGTAAAAAAAGAATGGAAACCACCAGCTGATGACCCACGGTTCTATGAGGAACCTAGCCCTACAGAGCATCCGCTGTATAAAGAAAATCCAGTTTCATGTTATAACTATACAATCAAATTTTTGCAAAATATTGATCAAGTTTGTGTTCTTACAAAGTCACAGAAGCTTGATGGATTACCACAAAATGTTTCCAACTTGGTGAACAAGATAGAAATACCCAACAAAGAAATACTTCTCAAGCGTTATATAATGCATTCACAGGAATGGGTCAGTACTAGGGTTAAACTCCCTCGAAGAATTGATAAAGAAAATTTGAAATTCAAATTTCCAAGAGAATATGGTATTCCTCCACGTCAATCAATAGGCATATTTCTGACAGATCTAGTGAGGATGTGTCAAAGTACAGCAGCACAGTTCCCCAATGCTGTTCAAGGGAGACGACTCATTCATTCACCATATGTCAATACACATTATATGTTTAATGATGAGAATATTTTGATACGAGGAACACCAAAATACATGTTAGGGTCAAATCAAGATTTGCAGCCATTTGCTGATCAAGAAACAATTGACAAATCTACTGAAATGGCTTTGCCAGATTTATATCCTGTAGAGCCAACAATTGATTTGATAAAAGAGCATTTTTATAATGATTCTACCTGCAATGGTTTTAAATTACCATATGCCTTTAGCAGACCACATACTTTGTTCATGCAGAACAGTGATCATTGGAGCAATGCTGACAGACAGTGTAGATCTCTTATGTTCTGTTTTGCATACGCCACTGCTAGGGCCAGAGAAAGATTTGGAGATGATGTTGTGAAATTGCCAGAACCTGTTAGTGTTCAGTGTGTAAACATGGATCAAACGACTCTTAACTTTACATGCTTTCAGTTAAACACTCTAGACATAAATACAGATGGAGGAATCAAGAACTTTGTTTGGTTTGATACAGGTAACCAGATATTTAAAAAAATCATGCCACAGCCTTGGAAAGAAGATGAATTTTTTCATAAAAAACATTATGGAGACTTTGAATCTACACCATTGGACAAGATGTTAGCACTAGTTTTAAATGGGTTACCAGAAACGGCAAATTTATGATATATTTTTGAATGGCATTAAAAAAGTATTTGTTTGAATTTATTGATAATAAGTTTGACTTTTTGTCCTATCAATTTTGTGACATTATGTCCTGTGACTTTTTTGTGTCACCTATAAATTTATATAATTTTGGATTAGTACAGTACACACAAGGTGATTAAATTGCTAATCTTTCGTTATGGTGGTGAAGTTTTCAGTGTTTGCCACTGGTTGTAAATATTCACTCTGAAATACTTAAGTACATTTTACATTACAGGGTTGAAAATCAGTGTGTTATTACTCAAAATCATCAGCTATAATACCAGCACATTTGAGCAGAATCACCCTGTGTGTACTGTATAAAAATGACATTCAAAATGTTACCATTCCAGAGTTTTCTTCTTTTTTTTTTTCATCTATCATGTCTATAGACCTTATTGATGCAGAACAAAATTGAAGAAAACAGTTAAATTTTCAAAGAAGACAGAAATCTGTTTATTGTTTACTTCATAAAAGGGGTATTTTTCAGTTTTCGTTCAATGCTTTGGGCAGTTATCATGAAACTTTGGTGACTGGTTTATATCTATTGAAATAACCTCCCTTAAGTTTTTCATGAATTTCTGATATGACATTGAGAAGTTATTGAACTTTATTCTTTAAAAAAGAGACGGGCGTATCATGCGCTCATGGCGCAGCTGTTTATTAGGGTTATTCATTGACAAAACTTGATGCTTTAAAACATGTTGATTGAATATGGTAAAACAAGGTGATTGTTAGTAATTAAAGGTGATAACATTCTGATCCTAAAATGATTGATTTTTGGTGTTTAACACCACTTTCAGTACTACATTGTATGAGCTATGTTGTGGCATTCAGGTTTTCGGTAGGAAAATTGCCAATCCTTGTCATCAAATTAAGATTGGAGTGGAATGCACAACACCTGTCATGTGTAGGGTTTGAACTCTCAACCTGAGTGTTGACAGGCTAGTGATACAGTAGGAGTAACTACTTAGACCTCACGGCTCCTGATAAAATGTGTTCCCTATTATTTGCAAATATCTGTAATAAATCTCCATTGAGTAAAATTGGACACAATCACTTTTTATGTTGTAAAGTTGTATGACAGTTCAGCTGTCACAAATAATAATTCTCAAACTACCTTTAAAGGGGCATTAGCTGTCAAATCCATGTTCACTCATTCAGCTTAAGTTCTCATTTGATTTATATTAAACCAAGAATTTTTATAGTAAAATATATCCCATAAAAAATCCTTGATTAAACATACTTAAACGTATATCCAAAATACAATAAAATGCTCCGCTGGGCGCAGCTTGATACGATCGCAGAGGTCGAACCCTGAACAGTTGGGGCAAGTATGGACACAACATTCAAGCTTGATACAGCCATGACAGCACTGAATTTGGATTGTGATTAAATATTTGACACAGCATAGGTTTCTGACACAGAATGAATGTGGTCTAAGAACTTAAAAATTTTAAATTTACCTATTCAAACCATATCATTATTATTTAATTTTATATATAAATCAGAAATAACCAATTTAAAATGGAAAATTTTAAAGAAAAAAAAAGGAAAAAAAAATCCCTCCCCCAAATTTTTTGAACCCCCTTATGATTCATCACCCCCAAACTCAATCCCAGCCTTCCCTTTGTGGTATGGTACCTTGCAGTACAATTTCAGAGAGATCCATACACTTGAACACAAGTTATTGTCTGGAAACTAGAAAAATGCTTGTTTTTAGGTCCCTTTTTGGCCCCAAATTCCTAAACGTTTAGGAGAATTACCCCCAAACTCAAACCCAGCTTTCCCTTTGTGATATGGAACCTTGTAGTACAATTTCATAAAGATCTATACACTTACACACAAGTTATTGTCCTGAAATTAGAACAATGCTTGTTTTTTGCCCCTTTTTGGCCTCTAATTCCTAAAATTTTGAGGCAATTACCCCCAAAATCAATCCCAGCCTTCCCTTTGTGGTATGGTACCTTGCAGTACAATTTCAGAGAGATCCATACACTTGAACACAAGTTATTGTCTGGAAACTAGAAAAATGCTTATTTTTTGCCCCTTTTTGGCCCCTTATTTCTAAACCTTTTGGGCAATTACCCCCAAACTCAATTCCAGCTTTCCCTTTGTGATATGGAACCTTGTGGTACAATGTCAGAGAGATCCATACACTAACACACAAGTTATGTCTGGAAGTTACAAAAATGCTTATTTTTGGCCCCTTTTGGGCCCCTAATTCCTTAACTGTTGGTACCATAACCCCCAAAATCAATCCCAACCTTCCACATTCTGTCAAGATAAATTGAAGGTCATGAGAACTGCCTGAGACATGTAGACCTTGCAAGGATCAAATATTATTTATTATTCTATTGATTGTTTTGAGTGAGAAAATTCACACGACAAAAAACTTTTTTAAGCAGTTGCTGAACCATGAAAATGAGGTCAAGGAAAAGGAAACAATTGATGAATTGAATTTTATAACATAAGGCATCTGTATACAAGGTATGAAGCATCCAGGGCTTCTACTTTCTAAAATATAAAGCTCTATACAAATAGTTAATGCAGTCACTAACGGCACAGCCATATTATCATCCGTGTGTGTAGCATGCGAGACAAATAATAGTTTGGAAGCTGAAAATATCAGCTAATATCATGAGGAACTCATATAAGAGGCCAGTTGTGTTTGCCCATGATTGAAACATTAGGTTACCGACTATGAATAAAGTCTCAGTGATTGTAAGAATGTTGATTTTTTTTTGTGTTATGGTCAAAAGCAACTTATTGTTTTTTATTGATGTCTCTAAATCCATGTTGAAAACAAATGTCCTGGAATGTTTTGTTGCAAAAAGAGTGGGACCCGGTATTTATAATGCAACGTGTTGATGGCTCTCACATATGTTCCTTCAATAACATATATATATAGAATTAAATAAATGACAAATTTCAAAGATTGCCGCCCAAGTAGACCCAAAAAAATATGAATTCTACACTCATCTATTAAGACCTACTAGCACTGATATCTTGGATTGATGTTTATTTATACATCCTAAGCATAACCATTTCCCCCTTCTGATATTGGTTGTGCTTTACATAGTTCACCTGTGAAATATATACAATGTAAACAAACACCCAGTTTTGTTATTCTGGAAGGTAAAAGCACATACCCAGTATCAAAACATTTTATAAGATATCTGACCATTAACTGCTGTGCAGGGTGTTGATCCACCTCCTTATTTGTCATCATTTGTCTGTAAGCAGTTTATTCTTGTTTTTTGTTGCTTCAAATGAATAATTTGGTTCCATGTTTAAAACCCTATGTGCTGGATAGGGTATGGAAATATGGTCATCTATGAACTTTTCCCATCCAGCAGAAAAACCAACTTAAAGAGGGGTATCTGTTCAGCTGTGATGGATGAATAAATATGCAGCTACATTTGTAAGTCTGGTCATATGCGATTTTGGAAGAGTTGCCATTAGACATTTGCATTCTATATTGACCTGTCTACAGTTAAAGACCTTATGTTGACCTCTAGAAGTCTTTTATTATTTGTCCTTTGTGTTAATGTCTCAATGACGTAAACCCTTTTTTACTAAAATATTTTGAATTTACTTCAGACTTAATGTTTGCAAATGTTGAAATTAAAATAACTATGCAAATCGTTCAAAGTCAATAAAACATGACTGAAGGTGCAGAGCAAGATAACCTCCATGGAAATGTGAAATGCCAATGCTTATAAAACTGCATACCAAATACCATTGACCTATCAAAGTGGTTTCCTTTAAACTCACCTAAACTCAAACTTTAACTTGTAAACTATGTAAAAGATTCATCGTCAATGAACCATGATGAGGGGTATGGCCATATAGTCTCCATGTAAATGAGACTTGCAAATGCCAATACAACTGCATACCAAATAGCATTGACTTTTAAATATTAGTCCTTCATCTTCAACTGATCTAATTACACAAACTTCAACATGTAAATAAAGCAAAACATTCAGTCAATTAATCATGAAAGAGGGGGAGCCAAACAATCACCATGGAAATGAGATGTGCCAATGCTATAAATACATCTGCATACCAAATATCATTGACCTACCACTAATAGTTCCCCTTAAACTGACCTAATCATAAACTAATACATGTAAACTAAGCAAACGTTTCAAAGTCAATAGGCCAGGACTGAGGAGGCGAGGCATAATAATATCATACAAATGAAATGTGCCAATGCTAATACAACTGCATACCAAAATTTCATTGCCCTGCCACTAATGGTTTTCCTTAAACTGACCTAATCAAAAACTTATACATTTAAACTAAGCAAAAGTTTCAGTCAATAGACCATGACTGAGGGGGTGCGGCCAAATTATCTCTATGGAAATAAGATGTGCCAATGCTATCGGTAATTCAAATGCATACCAAATATCATTGACCTACCACTAGTGGTTCCCAATAAACTTGACCTTATCACAAACTAATACATAGTTGACAAATGTCTAAGTCTCGCTTTTATGACTATTTTGACGCAAGACAAAATATGTGCAAGTTTTCCAAGGAAGATGAATGGTGTGCTGAAAAAATTGAGGAGGATCAACAATTAAAATAGAACACCTCCATGTCATCCTGTAGAAGAATCTGAGTGCAGGTTTGATTTCATTCAGTCAAGCCACTGTTGAGGAAGTGCAGATTAATAAACTGGTGTAAGCAGAAACCCCAAAAAAACAGATTATTAAAATTAGCAGGTGCTATTCATGTCTTGAAAAAGAATCTTTGCAAGTTTGGTTGAATTCTGAGAATCATTGAAGACCTTGATCCTTGAGTGCTGTAACGGTTTGTAGTCCAGGGACATCAAAATAAGTGTCTTCTTTTTCATAACAATAGATATGAATTAAAAACAAAATATAATATATCCTATTTCGTATTTTATATAAAATATTTATGAGTTTTTGATCACACATTGGAATAATATCACATCAATTGGTCCTGCCTCACTCACTCAACATCGTCTTCTTCCAAAGACTTTACTGTAGGT